AGTGAGACTTTTCAGGAGACTGATGAGGGAGTTATTGCTAGATCTAGGGACAGCTACATATTCAGAGAAGCTCAGTTGCCTCCATCTTTCGTGGGACACCTCTGTTTCTGTATCTATTAGCCAAGAGATTTGGTTTCTATGCAATGTAGATGCTGCCTATGATTTCTAAGAAGGAGATTATGTTTCTAGCAGGGCATAGACCATAATTTTTCCTATTCCAGTGATCCTTCCAGTACACCCACACTTTGCAAATTTGCTTCTTCAGCCATGCATGAACCAGGGAAAACCCGTTTGAAATCCTGGTTTGAACTATACTTGCCCCTTCTTTACAAAACTGAGTAAGGGGAAATAGACATAGAAAACAAAAGAAACACAAGCCGAGCTGAGAGTAAGGAAGACTTTGTACCTGATAGACCATTATATTAACAGTGTCTTCTTTTTTCTGCTCTGGAGGTCCTTGACTCTGCAATAGAATTCGTACTGTTTCTTCCATCCTAAAGGGCGGGAAGAAATGAAGAATTTCTTTAAAGACCTAGTAACATGAGTCTGAAATAATTCTTTAGTGTTTATTTCCAAAGCTTTAACCCTACGGTCCCTTGTCTCTCCTTCATTCCCCATATTAAGAATATACCTTAAAGTCCTTTCAGATCACTCTTTGGCATGTTTTTGGGCTCTCTCTTACTTTACTATTTGATTCCCTATTCATGGTGTCCTAGATCTATCTGTACTCATGCAAACAGCTCTCAATAGCCTCCTTCATTTACAATTACTCCTTTTGATGAGGGTAAGTTGAAAAGTATTGTTACTAGGGTTCCAGTTCAGACATACACAGATTTACTCCAAAATGTATTTAACTTCTCTGTAATGAGAGGTTGGCTACAGACAAGTTCTCTCAGTAACACACATGACAGACAGGTCAGCTCAGAATATTTTGGTCATATATATTTTTATTTTATTTTCTAATCTCAAAGGGGTAAACTTGCTAGATTTTCTTAAAGAACACAAGACAATCACACTGGCTTATTATGAGGAAGTTTAAAGAAAATGGGAACTGTACTGGTAAGAAAACAGCCAGAAAAGTTGCACCAAGCATTTTTTTTTTCATCACAACAATGTACCTGTTCATTATTCTAGTGTAGCAAGGGCTGTTTTATGAGAATTTTATTAGGAAATCTTACGTCATCCACCCTACAACCTTGATTTTGCCCCTAAACTTTTTGTTCCCTAAACTCAAACAACATTTAAAGGGAGCACAGTTTTGAATCCCTTGAGGAAACTCAAACTGCTGTTTGACTTGGTGAAATTAGAAGAGCACAGAATTCATCAGGGAAGGGTTAGAGAGATGGGAATGCTCTTCTCAGAAGTGTACACACCTAGATGAACGAGATGTAAAAAACAATAACTTCATATTTTGGTATTTTTATTTAATCAATGTTGCCATGATTTTATAGCAATACTTTTTAATTACCCTTATACTTCGACATAATTTCATTATATTAATCATTCCAAAACATCACTTTTGATTTTTTTAAATTACTTTTGAAAGTTGACAAAAATTACATGAACACATTCTCTGTACTCATAAACTTCCATGTCTTTCTAGCATGGTCTTTTCATGTCAGTACATAAAGATTTCCTTCATTCTTTCAACTGCTGCCCAGCATTCCATGGTGTAAACCCACAGTTAGATATTTAAACCTTTCTCTACTGAAGGGAAATTTAAATCATTTCAATTTTTTTGCTATTTCAAACAATCAACATCTTTGTACATTGTATACATTTATGAGTATGTTACAACATGTATCTTATATAATCTTGCTTTACTTTTAATACAAACACCCAGTGGTTTCCCATCCCAAAAGTAAAGAGCAATACAAGCACTCATTTCCATATCTAGATATTTGCTCATACTGTTACGACTTCTTGGAATATCAACTCCCTTTCATCTTCCCATTCTTCAAGTATCTTTCAAAGTCTACCTCAGGTTTCACCTTCCCACATCCTAAGACACCTGACTGGTCCCCTACGTCTTTGAATACTTACCGTCATTATACTTTACATCATCCAGCTACTTAAACATCTCTCACCTTCCTGTGCAAATATGTTATATATGTATGTCATGTCTTCTTAATTAAACGACATTTTCAATCAGACCATGTCATATACTACTTACGTATCTACCACAGTTATGGATAATGTAAGTGTTCACTGGACACTGGTACATGAATCGTCTGTTAATTTATTTGAAAAAGTATTATGAACTTATTCTGGGTCAGATATTCACCATGTATACTCTGATGGTGTTGGAATGACCTTGTCTTTGGGTCCACCCCTTAGGATTCATTGGCCAGACTCTGGGGAGCAGATGCCCTAAATGAAATGCATAGAACACAAGGCTCTCTCATCCAGAACCCAAGTTCGTTGCCTCTTCCATTTCCATTCTGAATCCTGTAGTTTAATGACTCAGTATAATACAAATCTAAGAAAATTGTGAAAGAATGGAGACTGATTCAGCTTTTTCCTCTGATAAGGGCTGCTAGTTTTGTTACTTAAGGACCCCAGAAGTCCTGTGGATCGCCTTTAAGTGGCAAGACCATTTCAGTGGCCAGGGTAGTCCTTCTCTAATGTGGGATCGTGACTTAGTGACAGAGTAAAGAAATTGCAGGTGAACTGAAGCTGTCTAAGTCTGCCTTCATAGAGGATGGCACCAGGACCTATGCTGACTTCAGGTAGTATGAGTGTCAAACAAGCCACCTCCTCTTCAGACTGACATCCTGGAGAGCAGAGGGTGCCCCCTACACATTTCGCAAAGCTTGTGTTATTCATGGCAAGATCTCAAACTTAAATACTTTTAAGAGTTTAACTTGACACGGTAATCTCTTATCTATTAGTCATTATAATGTCATATAACAAATACCATTCTGTCTATTTGGTAAGTGAGAAAGTCAAGGGATAGAGAGGTTAAGTGTCTTACTTAAGGGATCATGGTTAGTTGGATGATAAGTTAGGATTAACCTTTTTACAGACTGTAAAAATAACAGCCTCTCTCAGCTAGACCTTACTTACATTCAGGGAGATTTATTTTAAATAAGTGTTCTAATGTCTGACTAACTAGGAGTTAGCTTGAGCCCTACTATGGCGCTCTAGGATAAGCACTAAGCTAGTAACTTCAAGGTTGGCCGTTCGAACCTATGAGCCATTCTAGGAAACACTACACAGGGTCACTATGAGTTGGTATCAAATCAATGGCATACAATAACAAGGGTTAGCTTGGTGGGTATCTACTGAAAGCGATGTAAGGTTTCTGGCCTGGGAAAAACATATATACTGATGGAGACAAACTACGCCTATGTCAGAAAATAGATGAGAAATTACAAATTCAGAAATAAGAAGTGATCAGAGCCACTTTCGAGTTCTCTATTGTATTTTATATAAAGAGAGATAATTTCTTGAGTGGTACTAGAATTTCCATGATGTTCCTCAGAATCCATTATAAACAGGAAAAGTACTGATAATGGTGAACAGCTAACGTTTGTTTCTGAAGTATTAGTCTACTTTCTCCCCACCTTACAACAGAAGCCAAAGGTCTTTCTTACTTCAGCCCTTATTATTTTACTCACTAATAAACATCTGGCTGAGACATCGCCCAGTAGTTAGAACTCTGTTAAAGTAAAATCTTGTCTTTTTCTTTTCTTTCACTAAGTTAAAACACAATTCTGTCTCAGCACGTATCTTGCTGAATGATCTCTTCTGTGCAATTAGAGAAATCCTAAAGGTTCTATGTGCACGATGCTGGATCAAAAAGAAAAACATCTTTTCATCTTCCCCCATCCTTCTTTGCTTTATACTTTGAAAAAAAGGAAAAAGAGGGGGTGGACAGGAAGTTATTCCATTGGAGTCTCAAGCAGGCCCAGCACTCTCTGAAATCCTGTGAACAATTTTCTGGCACTACTTGATGACTAATTAAAACCAATTACATTTTCAACCTGCAGCTTGGAACAGAATTATGGGACCATCCCAACCCTTGGTAAAAAATTAAGCTGTCTTATCTTTGCATAACCTAAATGAATCTGGTCACAGCAAAAATGTCTTGAACCTGACAAGAATATACCATTATTTAATCCCAGATGACATCTTTTAAAAACATTTTCATTTAGCAAACTTCACTATTTATTTTACCAAAATTCAAAGACAGTGAAACTTCATCCGGTGGCGGGTGATACCCAATGCCATTTTCTTCCATTTTATTATTTTGCTAGCTGATGTATGAAGGCTTGCATTACCAATCTGAACAAAGAACAGCTCTACCGTCTGTTTCTCAAATGTGACTAAACATAAGCCAATTCCTCCTTGTAGTGTAGGCATGGGTAGGGCTGTTATTTTTGTTGTTGTTGATTGTTCTCTGTTCTTTGATAAGTGACTGATTGGTGTAATTTATCTTTACACACGGATTATAATCAATGTCGTCTAATTTGTTTGGCCACAACCCCTCAAGATAAAATAGTTATTCCCCTAAATACTGGTCAAATAGCTGTCATAACTAAAAATAAACAATCCACAAGTATAGTTGTTGTTGTTGTTGTTAAATGTCAACAGTCAGCTGTAACTCATGCAACCCTTAAGGATTTCCAAGGAACCACTAGTGGGTTTGAACTGCCAAGCTTGCAGTTCAAACTGACCTTGCAGTCCAGTGCTTATCTTATAGCATCACACAACAATTATGGGCTGCTAACCTCAAGGTCGGCAGCTCAATACCACAAGCTGTTCCGCAGGAGAAAGATGAGCCTTTCTGAACCTATAAAGATTTACAGCCTCGGAAAACCTATACAGGGTCTTTAGAAGTCATAACCGACTCCATGGCACACACTACCACCACCACCAGTATAAAATAAGTTAGAACTGTATCAGGTGAACTATTTAAAACACACACAAAGAAAACTTTTTAAATCTCAGGACAATCAGAGAAAAGGAACATAATACGTCTACAAACAGTATGCTTCCGGTAACAGGAGTTAAGACAGGAAATTACTTATTTTATTAGAAACAGATTCCATTTTATGATACACTTATCATTTGAACAATAAATTCTAGTATTCCTTCTGGTGGCAGTTAAGGATAT